CTAATCTATAGATTAGTTGGCAGAATCATGCCCAAACTACGCAAATGGTCTTAGAATAAAATATTATATAAGTGTTGGCTGTCACTTTAATGTTAGCTTCTGCCCTCCAATTACAAGCATTTCTATCTTGTCTGTGTTCAGTGTCAGCCAGTTACAGTTCATTTACTCTTGTAAGTCAGTAAAAAACCTGTTGATCTTGTTCAAGGGGTCACTAGTGTCTGGTTTGAAGGACAGGTAAAATTGTGTGTCATCTGTACTGAAATGGTAGCTAAGACCATGATGCTGGATGATCTTTTCCAGTGCAATTCTGTATACAGCAAATAACATTAATGGAAAATATGGAGCCCTGTGGCATCCCTGTAATGTAATAGAAGGGAACAGGATGAGTGCATTCCTGCTGTGTACATTTGTTATCTCCCTTACAAAAATAATATGAACCAGCTGAGCACTGTACCCTCTAGACCACAAAGCAGTTTTAAGTGATCCAGTAAGATGTTATGGTCCATGGTATCAAATGTGGCAGAAAGATTAAGGAGGATAAGGATGGAGAATTCTTCTTTGTCACTAATCATCAATAGGTCATTCAATAGTTGGACAGGTACTGTTTCTGTACTGTGTTTTGCTGGTAAATTTGCAAAAATGAGTTATTTGAAAGCCAGGCTTCCAATCTTTTGAAGATTAACCCATCACTGCAAATGGGAGGTTTGACACTGGTTTTAGCTGGTCAAGATCTTGGGATCTAAGGATGGCTTTTTTGAGCAATGAGAGGTAAGGGCCTTTAAGTTGGTGTAGGAAGATATCTGTATGAAGAGAGAACTGTACAATTTTTGGACTGCTAGACTAATTTGGCTGATGAATGCTAATAGTGGACCTGTTGGTACTAGGTCATAGTCATGTGTAGTTGGAGTCTTTTGATTATCACAGTTCCTTCTACATCAATACTATAAAATGTTGTCCAAAGGCTTGTTGATGCAAGGACTGTATTACTGAGCCTTGAAAGTCTAATATTTCAGGCTTTATTTGCATCATTGATTGAGGAAACTTTGTGGGAAAGTAATGAACAAATTACTCATATCTTTCCTGCAAGAGGTTAAGACTCAGCTTCAGGCAACCTGGGTTGTACAGTTTTTCCACAGGGCAGAAAATTTGAACAGGTCTGTCGATGTTGTATTTTTCTTGTGATGGCCAGTCTGATTTTTTTTTTTGTGCAGTGATGGTTTGCTAATTCTTAATTCATGTTGATTCAGGGATCTTTTGACCTTTTCACTGCCTTTCCTGCTTATGTCCCTTTTGTTTAATTTGTCTCATAATCTTATTATATAAAGTTGCATGGTAGTGTGAGTGGAGATGTTTGACCATCAGGTGCAATGGAGTCAAAAGCTAAAATATTTTTGTTGTATAAAATGATATCTGGGTCCTGTTTCAAAATGTCTAGGATCTCAAGACACAATTTATTGGTTAACCATTGTTAAAGACAATTGATATTTCAGGAGTTCCTCTTTCTGGTTTGTGTTAGATGGAAGAGTAGTACAAAAATGCACAAGATGGTGATCTAACCAATCAAACTGGCATTACGTTGTCCATAGATGGATCAGAATTTGGCCATTTCAGCAGGGACTGGCCTAATTTTGATTCATCTATAGCCATTCTGTTTGACATACAGTAACAATTGGAATACTGCAGGAAAATGTGCATTCAAACAGCAGCTTCAGCCAATTGGTTGAAGCTCTAATCACTGTATTCTGACAGTGGGGGCCTCCCTGCTGTCAAAATACAATAGCACAATAGGGAGGGTTCCTCCATCCCCCTAACTTGTGTGGATGAGGGAATCCATTTTGTTTTTTGATATGCCCTCTGGCTGATTGAAAGAAAAAAGAACCATCTATGGCCAGTCCTACAGGACGTGGATGTGATGGACTAGGCACCTGAATTCTTTTTTATTTGGGGGTGATTTTCAATTTTAAGTGATTTTTTTGCTGTAAGGAGGAGGAGACACAAAAGATTTTGGTATTTCATTTCTCTGTTCTCATATTCTGTGCCATGAGCTAGGCAAGGTTGGTCATTGATTATTCAGTTGAGGAGGGCAGGTTGTAAACATGGTGACTGTATTCACTGTGCATAGAATTCTGTGTGTCTGTCCTCCTTTGCATTCCCTATAGGTCTTTTTTAAAATTTCAAGGGACTTTAGGAAGGGAATTTCAACATAGGTTTTCCTATTTAAAACTGCCATACGTGGCTCAAATTTCAGCTGAATCATGCTGAATCACGCTAAATTCAAGCTGTTGGTCCTCCTGTTCAACAAAAGTCAATTGTTCAGTCAACGTTTGAAAAAGGAGCAGGGCGGTAACATTTTTATCAGATACAACCACTATTTGGGTCTTCTAACTTCCACAGGTGCTGGCTGTCAGAATGCAATAGCTAGCAGGGAAATTTAATCTAGATTTAATGTGTTCTGCCTGCAGGCTGAGGGAAAGAAATCTATATACGTATGTATGGCCAGATTTACCTGACTGAAGGGACAACAAAAATTCTAAAGAGTATGAATATACTCTTCTGTATATCAGCAGTTTAGAAAGTATTGCTGGGAACACTTGGGATATTTGTTCTACTTTGATTAGCACATGAATGCAACAAACACTGACACATATTTAGGTTTTTACTAAATTAATAGATTTTGTTTATCTAGAAAAATGTGTATTCACCTTCAAACTGAATGTTAGCTGAACCTATATTAACTTTGATTACCCAACATTCTTTTCCCCAATCATCTTCCAGGACAGGAGAGAGTGGCTCAATCCAACAAAAAACAGGGAAAGCAGGGCTCACAATACAATAAAAAAGTGTCAGATTCCTTTAAGCCTCAATCATTTGAGTTTATTTTGGCGACACAGGAACTATTGCACAAGTTGACTTATCTTCTATTTTGGTTGCCATGCTAGTAAGCAGGGCCTCTACTTGACCACAGCAATTATTTATTCTTCCAACTACATCTGGAGACACACTTCCACCTGATGTTGTCATTTTTTCTCACTTCCATGAGTATGAAACTAATATGTAGGGGGCAGCTGATGTCAGATCTTGCTGCTGCTCTGGAAGGAATGAGTCCAGGTTATATTGTATCCAGTTTAACAGTGAACTCCTTTTTGATAGCAATATAGAAGCAATTTTAGATCATCAGATAGGAAAAAGTGGTTTCCAAAAATAACATGATTTTGGACAAAAACCTTTAATAATCAGAGGTTTCAAGGTAGAAGGAAATATAAAAATCAAGAAAGCCATAAAAAATTGTCTCAAAAATGAGGAAAAACAAGAGTGGTTTCTTGTTTAACCATTATGGAGTATCAGTCAAGTAGGAGTGTTTCCATCACTGCTGTGGAAGAGAAAATGGGGAGCTTTTTTCCACAATGTAGTCAAGTCATAATGTATCCCTATATCTTGGATGTAATTTCTTCAATTCTCCCTATGATAATACTTGTAACTTCTCTCCCAAAAGAAAAGTTAAAGGCAGCAGTTTTCCTTGTCTTAACAAGGGAGTTACAATCTCATTGCCATAGTGCCTCTCAAGGAGCAAGGTCAAGGTTTCTACAGACAATGTTGAGTGATTCTGAACTTGAAACCCCTGAACCAGTCAATCAGACACATAACTTACAGAATGGAGTATTTTTTTCTTTTAGGAATCTGTTAACAATAGATGTATTTATGTTTCTGGTAGACCTAAGGGATACACATTTGGATGTTCATATTTGAAAGTCCTCACAGAGATACCAAGGATTTGCTTTGAGAAATGGTTAGTGGCAGTATGCAGCCCTTCAGCCTGTCATTCCATTTTCACAAAGGTGCTAGCAGAAACATTGATGTCCCTGAGGAAAAAGGAAATTGTTTGCAAATTCTGAGTCTCAGCTTGGGAAATATTTATACCTAACTCTTGTTTATCTATAGAAACTGGGATGGATTTTAAACAGAAAAATCCAATTTGATACCAAGCCAAAAGTACTGTAGCTAGGGTATAAAGTAGATTTTATGGTGCAAAGGATTTTTTTCCCAAAAAATACATAGCCTCAGCTCCTTTATTAAGATCTATAAAGTGAATAATAGGGGTAAGAATCTTTTCCATTCTGGCAATACATCAGGGACAAAACCATTGAGGCAGCCGCACACATTCCTTTTAGCAACCTAGTATGGATCACAGACAATCTAGCAATTCTGCCACATACACTAAGGCAAGAAATACGTTGATTGCCAAAACATGAAAACCCACAGAGGGAGAGTTTGGTTTCCCACTTATCTTGTGTATATTACCACAGATGCAAGTTCTTGGGAGTGAGGAGCCCATACAAGACAAAAGGTTGCCTAGGGTATATGGGGCATGCAATTTGTAAAAAAAATCCTCAAATGTGAGGGAACTGGTAAAAATGTCTGCACATATCCCTGCAATAATTTGTCAATTTTGCAATACATGTAAAAAATTAAATCAAATACTAGACCCTTCAGATGTGGCATGAATTTTGAGGGAGACACCCACATTAAAAGAATACATCCCCAACCCTTAATCTAAGCATGCTGCCTATAAATCCAGTGTCCACCATGATAAACGTCACCCACCAATCATCGGGGGAAAAAATTTGATACACCAACTCATCCACTCACACCACACTTCCACCTCTAATGACAGCTCTACAGAGCTATCATTAAGTTTACAAACAAGGGAGACAGAGAAGTGATGACATCACTGATCAAATATGGACATGGTCATAGTTGGTCAATGGCCATGGCCATAAGTGGTCAGTGATGTCAGTAGAGATGAGCGAATTATTCAAAAATTCGATTCGGCTGATTCGCCGAATTCGCGGAATAAATTCGATTCGAGGCGAATATATTCGCTGCGAATTTAACGTGTAAAAAAAGGGTGTTTCTAGGCTTCAGAGAGCCTTTATAGAACACTGTACCTTTAATTTAAATGCCCTTGGAGTCTGCTGGGGAAGAGAAATAATACTGTCAGTCAGTATGACATGCAGATGAGTGCCGTCGATCTTAGAATCACCGCACACTTCACTCATTTGGGCAGTCACGGGGCCAAAACCAGAGTGTGGAGCCACAGTGTGGCGGTGGAGGCAGCAGCAATGGGAGGCCATACAGCACCCTATGACAAAATGGAACCCACCAGCAGTGTGAGGAGACCTGAAAGTGGCACATGGCAGAGTGTGGCGATGGAGACAGCAGCAATGGGAGGCCGTACAGGGACCCATGACACACTCTGGACCTGGCAGCAGCATGAGGAGGCGGTACAGGGGGCCCATGACAGATTACGGGGCCTGGCAGCAGCATGAGGAGTCGGTACGGGGGCCCCATGGCAGATTACGGGCCTGGCAGCAGCAATGGGAGGCCATACAGCACCCTATGACAAAATGGAACCCACCAGCAGTGTGAGGAGACCTGAAAGTGGCACATGGCAGAGTGTGGCGATGGAGACAGCAGCAATGGGAGGCCGTACAGGGACCCATGACACACTCTGGACCTGGCAGCAGCATGAGGAGGCGGTACAGGGGCCCATGACAGATTACGGGCCTGGCAGCAGCATGAGGAGTCAGTACGGGGGCCCATGGCAGATTACGGGCCTGGCAGCAGCAATGGGAGGCCATACAGCACCCTATGACAAAATGGAACCCACCAGCAGTGTGAGGAGACCTGAAAGTGGCACATGGCAGAGTGTGGCGATGGAGGACAGCAGCAATGGGAGGCCGTACAGGGACCCATGAACACTCTGGACCTGGCAGCAGCATGAGGAGGCGGTACAGGGGCCCATGACAGATTACGGGCCTGGCAGCAGCATGAGGAGTCGGTACGGGGGCCACCATGGCAGATTACGGGCCTGGCAGCAGCAATGGGAGGCCATACAGCACCCTATGACAAAATGGAACCCACCAGCAGTGTGAGGAGACCTGAAAGTGGCACATGGCAGAGTGTGGCGATGGAGACAGCAGCAATGGGAGGCCGTACAGGGACCCATGACACACTCTGGACCTGGCAGCAGCATGAGGAGGCGGTACAGGGGCCCATGACAGATTACGGGCCTGGCAGCAGCATGAGGAGTCGGTACGGGGGGCCCCATGGCAGATTACGGGCCTGGCAGCAGCAATGGGAGGCCATACAGCACCCTATGACAAAATGGAACCCACCAGCAGTGTGAGGAGACCTGAAAGTGGCACATGGCAGAGTGTGGCGATGGAGACAGCAGCAATGGGAGGCCGTACAGGGACCCATGACACACTCTGGACCTGGCAGCAGCATGAGGAGGCGGTACAGGGGCCCATGACAGATTACGGGCCTGGCAGCAGCATGAGGAGTCGGTACGGGGGCCCATGGCAGAGATTACGGGCCTGGCAGCAGCAATGGAGGCCATACAGCACCCTATGACAAAATGGAACCCACCAGCAGTGTGAGGAGACCTGAAAGTGGCACATGGCAAGTGTGGCGATGGAGACAGCAGCAATGGGAGGCCGTACAGGGACCCATGACACACTCTGGACCTGGCAGCAGCATGAGGAGGCGGTACAGGGGCCCATGACAGATTACGGCCTGGCAGCACCATGAGGAGTTGGTACGGGGGCCCATGGCAGATTACGGGCCTGGCAGCAGCAATGGGAGGCCATACAGCACCCTATGACAAAATGGAACCCACCAGCAGTGTGAGGAGACCTGAAAGTGGCACATGGCAGAGTGTGGCGATGGAGACAGCAGCAATGAGAGGCCGTACAGAGACCCCATGACACACTCTGGGACCTGGCAGCAGCATGAGGAGGCGGTACAGGGGCCCATGACAGATTACGGGCCTGGCAGCAGCATGAGGAGTTGGTACGGGGGCCCATGGCAGATTACAGGCCTGGCAGCAGCATGAGGAGGCGGTAGAGGGGGGCCCATGGCAGAGTGGCGGAGCGTAAGCAGCTAAAATTGAAGGCCAAAAATTGAAGCTGCTTCTGCTCCGCCACTCTGCCATTGGACTCTTGATAGTCGTCGACTATCAAGAGTCCAATGGCAGAGTGGCGGAGCAGAAGCAGCTTCAATTGAAGGCCATACACAGGCCTAGGTTAAAAGTCCCTCACAGTTAATTCCAATAACGAACTCTACTCCTCCGTGCAATCTACTTACGAGACCCTGGGCAGGTCTATGTCCAATTTGTGGTAGAGACTGTTTTTGTTCAGCCATGCTTGAGCGAGTAATAACAGGTCTGTGCTGCCCTTTGGTGTCTGGCTTAATGCGCACAACACTGAACGTCCCAGCGTTTGTCAACGATTTGCCGTTAAGTGATGCAAACCCGCTGAACACGTTCATGAGGAGCCGGTACAGGGGGCCATGAATCAGTATGGACCTGGCAGCAGCGTGAGCAGACGACAGAGGCACATGGCGCAGGGTGGCGGTGTAGGCAGCATTATTCTGAAGCCATACACAGGCCTAGGTTAAAAAGCGGAAGCCGTCCGCAGCGTGAGCAGACACGACAGAGACACATGGCGCAGGGTGGCGGTGCGAATGCAGCAGTATTCGGAAGCCAAACACAGACCTCGGTTAAAAAGCGGAAGCCGTCAGCAGCGTGAGCAGACGACAGAGGCACATGGCGCAGGGTGGCGGTGGAGGCAGCAGCAATGGAAGGCCATACAGCACCCTATCACAAAATGGAGCCCACCAACAGTGTAAGGAGACCTGAAAGTGGCACATGGCAGAGTTGGCGATGAAGTCAGCAGCAATGGGAGGCCGTACAGGGACCCATGACACACTCTGGACCTGGCAGCAGCAAGAGGAGGCGGTATAGGGGCCCATGGCAGAGTGGCGAAGCATAAGCAGCTTAAATTGAAGGCCATACAGAGGCCTATGTTAAAAATAATAACATGTTTGGGGCATGATTAATGGCGGATTTAGTCAGTTGTGTCAGGAACTGGTGGTTTGAAATCCAGACTAATCCACGCCTGATTCATTTTCACAAACGTGAGTCCTGAAGTCCACACTTTGGTGGACATCGTGTCCTCGCCGCGGAGTTACAATTCCTCCTGCCGCACTAAACACTCGCTTCCGTCCACGCTACTGGCCGGGCATGACAGCCTTTCAAGGGCAAATTCAGCAAGTTGGGGCCAAAGGTCAAGTTTCGTTGCCAGTAGTCAAGGGGATTGTTACCTCGGTTGGCAGGGTGCTGTCCAAGTAAGGCCCGAGCCTGTTGTTTGAGGTCCTGCTCCAGAATCCACCTGATTCTGCTGCTGCGGCTGGTTAGTAGTTTCCTCACTGCGCTGGTGAAGAAAGCTACTCATCATCGACTGCAGACAGAGGCAGCCGCTGCTGGTGGAGCTGCCAACTACCACCCCACCCCTCCCCTGCTGCCATGGCAGCACGCACAGGGCCCACAGTGTCCTGAGGATGGACGTTGGCGCAGAAAGGCAGAGACCCAACTGACTACATACACTAGTACTTTATTTGGCCTCCCTCTCAGCAGGTGTGAAAAAGGCCACCATTTTTGAACGGCTTAGCGAGGGTCCAACAAGGTGGACAGCCAAAAGTCATCCCTCTGTCTGATGGTTATTTATTCGGCTGTCGCTACGCAAGCAAGCGAGCATGCTATGGCCTTTGTGCCAAGGAATGCGAGGGACCCCTGCCCCCATCTCCACAGCATACTGCCACGGTGCGTCTGGGTCCTCTGACCAGATGCTCCTGCTCCTCCACTCCTGTCCGCTGAGTGGAAAAACATTTCACTCAATAATTCCTGAGCACCAATGTCCTCCTCTACCTCCTCCTCTTCTTCCTGTCCTGCCCCCCACAGGGTCATGTGGCGTTGAGATCTGTCACCACGTCTACCGCACCCTGACCAGCCCATTGTTTAACAGCATTTGTTCCCAGGACATGCAACAGAGGAATGACGTCGTTCATCCCATAGTCCTGCCGACTCACGAATAGCGTGCCCTCCTCAAAGGGCCTCAGCAAGCGGCAGGTGTCACGCATGACTGCCCAATGGGCTTGACATCGAAGTTACACAGGGGAGTACCTTTATCCGCTTGTAACATCAGGAAATCGGTGATGGCCTTTCGCTGTTCGTAAAGGCGGTCTAACATATGTAGGGGTTGAATTCCACCTTGTTGCAACGTCGCAGATCAGGCGATGCTGGAATTCCGTTCTCAGCGCTGCAGCACAAGGAAGGAATGGCTGAAATGCATGCAAAGTTTTACGTGACATTTTAAGGATGTCTTGCAGTGGGATGGTGGATTTTAGGAACCGCTTGAAAAACAGATTGAAATTGCATGGCGCATGGCACAACCTTCCTTGACGCAGAGCAGACACCATTTCTTTCCGTTGTCGGACAACATGGTTCCTATTTTCAGTTTGCGCGGAGACAGCCAATTTCTCTGTTTCATTACACTCAGAAGTTCCCTCCCCTGTGTGACTACGTTCGCCAATTACCAGGTGCAGCACAGCGTGACATACACATGTGATATGCCGTTCGGGTAAATGGGACTTGGCACGCGGGGGTGAGGCTGGCTGGGACACGGCGGAAGAAGAGGTGGTAGAGGCGGACATCTTTGCTGGACCAAGGACGTGCAAACGTGGAGGCAAAAGCGGCGTGACCTGTCCCAAGTTCCTGTTGTGCGGCTGTGCCGGCACCACGTTCACCCCAGTGGGCCGTAAATGACATGTACTGTCCCTGACCGTAGTTTACAGCTCCACACGTCGGCGCTGCCGTGCACTTTGGCAGAGACCGACATGCTCAAAACTGGCCCACCATATCTTCTACATGTGAATGCAGGGCTGGCACTGCCTTTTTGGCGAAGAAATGCCGGCTTGGCACTCTCCACCGCGGCTCGGCACAAGCCATCATTTCTCGGAAAGGTGCTGATCCACCACTTGGAAAGGGAGGGACTGCAGCACCAGCAACTTGGACAGGAGGACGTTCAGACCTTCTGCACCCGTCGGGTGCGTGCTCGCAAACTGTTGTCTCTTGGAAACGGATTCCAAGAAGACTGCTGACGGAATCCGTGAAGAGAGGAGTAGCAGGAGAAGGAGCATCAGAACGAGCGGAAGATGCCAACGAGCGACAACTCCCCTCAGCAGAGGTGTTGGAGCCTTGACTGGCTGATAGAGGGCGATTGACGTCGGGTGAAGGAGCAAGTAACGGAGCGGGTGATGGAGCGGGGGCTGGGGCAGGC